GTTATGTCTTATAATAAGGAGAGTTGTGATAATGGCTTGGTCCTAGTTAATGTTGAAAAGAACCTAAATCAAAAATGAATTCTTGATTTAGGTTGCTCTTTCCACATGTGCCCAAATAAAAATTATTTTCTGGATCTTGAACAAACTAAGGGAGGCCAAGTTATCATGGGTAACAACATGACCTGCAAAGTGAAGGGTATTGGAACAATAAAATTACTTTTAGAAAATGGTAGAATTCTATTACTAAAAAGTGTCAGATTTGTTCTAGAATTAGAAAGAAACCTAGTGTCTCTAGGAATGTTGGATGACATGGAGTTTGACATAAAATTGGGTTAAGGACACATAAAAATCTTTAGGGGAAGTGATTTGATCACTTCTATCCCGAAGAAACATGACTTATATTTTTTAAATGCAAAACCTATGTTGGGCCTTTCAGTTGCAGTTTTAGATGACAATTTTAATCTTACAAAATTATGGCACCATAGACTTGGTCACATTGGTGAAAAAGGCTTAAAGGCTTTACAAAATAAAGGTATTTTTGGAAAATCAAATATTGGTAATTTGACTAAATGTGAACAATGTTTGATTGGGAAGCAAGTTAAGTTACCTTTTCCCACTAGCACTCATAAATCAAAGCAAATTCTAGAATACTTACATACTGATTTATGGGGTCCTGCATCCACCTCTACATTGTCAGGTTATAAGTATTACTTGCTTATTATTGATGATTTCTCAAGAAAAATTTAGGTATTTCTTCTGAAAACTAAAGATGGAACTTTTGTTACGTTTAAAAATTGGAAAACCCAAATTGAAAATCAAACTGATCTAAAAATCAAAACATTGAGAACTGACAATGGTCTAGAATTTTGCAATTATGAGTTTAATGAGTTTTGCAAACTACATGGCATTTTAAGACATAGAACTGTGACTTATACACCCCAACAAAATGACATTGCAGAAAGAATGAATAAGAACAAAATGGCATTGCAGAAAGAATGAATAAGACTTTGTTGAATAAAGTTAGATGCATGCTCTTGAGTTCTGGCTTACACAAACTATTTTGGGGGTGAAGCTGTTAAAACTGCTGCATATTTAGTTAATAGAAGTCCTACAAGTGCTTTAAATTTTAATGTGCCAGAATCTGTGTTGACACAAAAGCCTGTGATATATTCCTACTTAAAAACATTTGGTTGTGCTGCATATGTTCATCAAAACATAGGGAAATTAGAACTACGATCCCTTAAATGTGTGTTTTTGGGTTATGCTGAAAATGTTAAAGGATATAGGCTGTGGGTTTATCGGGAAAAAGGTTATAGAGTTATTATAAGGAGAGATGTGATTTTTAACGAGTCTTGTATGCCATGTTTAGAGGGAAAGAAAGTAAACTTAACTGATAATGATGTCCAAATTGAGGTGGAGCCAACCAAGCTTGATAATCTTAATACTGTCCCTTTAGAAACTGAAAATACTGATGCAGACCTGAATGGTACTGATGTTGAACTGGCAGAATCTGAACCCAATGATGACACTGTAATACCACCTGATGAATACCAGCTAACTAGAGATAGGGAACGAAGATAAATTAGACCTCCTGCCAGGTACAATACTGAAGAATTTGTCTCACTGTTCTTCTATCAGGATAAAATTGAATCTGAACCTTGTTTATATAATGATGCCATAAAATCAAAGGATTCAAAAATTTGGTTCGCTGTTATGGAAGAGGAGATGACCTCATTGCATAAAAATAAAACAAGGGAATTGGTTGACAAACCTAAGGATAAAAAATTGATAGATTACAAGTGGATATATAAAATAAAAGAAGGGGAAGTGGACAACAATAACATTAGATATAAAGCTAGGCTTGTTGCAAAAGGGTTCACCCAAAGAGAAGGGATTGACTATGATGAGATCTTTTTCCCTGTAGTTAAGTATACCACCATAAGATGCATTCTGGCATTGGTTGCTCAATTTGAATGGGAATTAGATCAATTAGATGTAAAAACAGCTTTCCTATATGGAGAATTGTATGAATTGATCTATATGAGGCAACCAACAGGTTTTGAAAAAGGTGATCCAAATAAAACTGTTTGTCTGTTGAAAAAAATCATTGTATGGGTTGAAACAAGCCCCTAGACAATGGTACAAATGTTTTGACTCTTTTGTGTTAAAACTTGGTTTTAATCGAAGCAACTATGATACATGTTTGTATTGTAAGGATGTGGTGGTAAGAATTCTCTTTATTTGGTTCTTTATGTGGATGATATGCTTATTGCTAGTGCTTGCAAATCTGAAATTGATGACATTAAGCAAAAGCTAAAATTAGAATTTGACATGAAAGATCTTGGCTCAGCCAAGAAGATTTTTGGTATGCAAATTGTTATAAATAAAGAAAATGAAATGTTGTTCTTAAACCAAAAGGATTACGTGAATAAAATCTTGAAAAAGTTTAATATGTTTGAGTGTAGACCCGTAACATTACCTCTTGCAAATCATTTTATATTGACCTCAGATGCATGTCCTAAAACTGAAGAAGAATTGGCTAAAATGAATAGAATACCTTATGCTAATGTTATAGGATCTGTAATGTATCTAATGATATGTACTAGGCCTGATTTAGCATATAGTATCAGTGTGTTGAGCAGATTTATGGCCAATCCCGATGAAAGTCACTGGGAAGCACTAAAATGGTTGTTGAAATATTTAAAAGGTTCATCTGACATAGGTCCAGTGTTTAAGATAAATAAAGAAGGGGTAATACTAAAGGGTTATACTGACTCAGATTTTGCTGGAGATAAAGATAATAGGAGGTCTACCTCATCTTATTACTTTACTTTCTGTGGTACTTTTGTGAGTTGGAAATCACAGTTACAAAAGGTAGTTGCTTTATCTTCCACTGAGACAGAATATATTGCTGCTACAAATGCCGTTAAAGAAGGTATTTGATTAAATGGTCTACTATATGAACTTGGTTTGTGGACACTAATCCAACCTTATTTTCTGACAATCAAAGTGCTATTCATTTGAGTAAGAATCCTATGTTTCATGATAGAACCAAGCATATTGATGTTAGATACCATTTCATAAGAGATGTAATATCAAAAGGGTTATTAAAGATTGGTAAAATTGCTACACTGCATAATCCATCTGACAGGGGAACAAAAGTAATACATTTAAACAAGTTTCAAAACTGCTTGAAGCTTTTATCAATTGATTCCATTTATTGATTATGCAGGTACTATGAGTAAATGAAATTATAAACTGCTGGCGAAGCTCCTAGTTGCACTATGGCCAAGAATTTGGAAGCAAGGTGGAGATTGTTGAGATTCGAACCGTGTGTTCTCATTACTTATAAAAGTGTGCTTCCAAATATTATTGAAAACTCGTGTTTCTTGGATTAACACTTTTGGAAATAAATGGAACTGGTGGGATTGAAACACATGGCTAAGCAATGACCTTTGGATGAGCTTCTAGATGATTCTAACCCTAAATATCCAAACGAGCCTTTTCAGCTCACTTGTGGTGTGTGGTTGACTCGATCGTTCATCTCTCTGTTCTCCCTCTTCTCTATGTGAGATTATTTTTTTTCTTGGTGATTTGGTTTCATAAATCTTGAGTGGATTCAGTGAATAAATGTAAAATACCTTGTGGTATTATAGATCTGCATATTCGTGTATTACCCTGTGTGGTATTTTGGATGAATCTGTGTAATTAATTTATAGCATGCAGTTTTGGTTCTTGATATATCTTTGTGATCTGTTCGATTCCTTTGTGGAATAGCAGTTTGTCGAGTAGTTTTTACAAAGATAAGTCTTCGTGTTGAGTTCTTTGTAATATTTTTTGAGATACTCATGTATATTTGCTGTCGGTTTAGTCCAACCGAGCTTTATCCATTTATAATGGATGTTCAACAGGGGATTAGGCATTAGAAAGTGGTCGCCGAACCTCTGGGGCTACGACAGAAAAATTTCTCGTGTTGATTTTTATTTTCTGCATTTATTTTTGTTGTTTAATGGCTAGATCATGAAACTTTAGTTAATCTCGAAGTTGTCTCGTTCTTTCAGATAAATTTGTCAATTGCTCATGATTTGTGCTTAATTAAGCCGAATTTTGGTTTACGTGTATATATGAGCGAGTTAATTTTTTAACCATCATTTGAGAGGTCTAAAAGTGCAATATATCCGTCACTTAGTTTTATTTATTTATAATTTAAAATAATTATAAACGCGTCCCAAACTAGCTCTAAAAATATGAATCATACATGCACACTCCCTTCACTCATGTGCAGTGTGCGTAAACATAGCATGTTTGGCTATAGAATAATGTTATTTAGATGATATTTGGCGAGAAAGGTACCATAAAATAATAAGACCAATTAAATGTATGAATATGAGACCCTCTTTATTGATCTTATTACTTAGTATCACCTCATACGCGATGATCATCAGTAATGAAGATAAGTATCGTTACTTTGGCTTTATTTTTGTAGAAAATTTGCTTATTTTAAAATTATTTTGCATACCAAAATAAGACAAATTTTCCTTTCTTTCTTTTCTTTTAAGCTAAGTCAAACATGCTCCGAGAAAAATAAGAGACGTTGATGGGTCAACTAAGCTCAAAACTTTGTTTGACCATAAATTTGATGAGAAATAATCCACTAAGCAAAAGTAACACAACAAATCTAATGAATAATGCTATCAAGCTAGAAATGATCCTCATTCAACGTGGAGCCACAGCTACATTATCCAACATATAAAAACGCAATCCAATTTCATTGGACAATGTGATAACAATTCACTGCAACATAAAATGGTTGTTATATGAGTTCTAGATGAATAACATTACTATCAATTAATTTGTGAATAAGTTGATTGCCAATCTTAAAAATTTAATAATTTATCAATTAATTGATGTATCATGTTACTTATTCTAAACAAACGGTGTTTAATAGATCATTTCTCTTTGTTTGATAAAGATAAATTAAGCTTATCCCAGCCTGAAGATTCGAGGACAATTACCTGCTTAAGCTTAGTATATATACGTGGATCCAGTTCTTGAAACCGTGAAAGTCATGCTCGGTTCAAGGGAAATATTTACACAACTCCAAAACAAGATAGTTTTAAAGGCTAAGTTTCTACTATAGATGAGGTTAAGGTACAAAACTAGAGAAGCAGATATGTGACTAGAGAAGCAGTTATGTGCCATTTTCTACAGAAAATGGACGAGACTCAAGGAACGATTAACCGGCCTTGCTGCCCGGGAGATTTCCACGATGATTCTAGTCGCATCAGATGTAGTTTCCCAACAAATGGATCTAGAACTTCAGCCTCTTCTTCCGGGGCAAAGGCCATGCAGATGCTAAGTTGTTGCACTGCTGCCTCGTAGTCCCTGCGGTTTGTATAAGTCGATTATTGATTATTGAGCGCCCGGGAAAAAAAACAGAGAAATGTAAAATGGCCTGAAAATGAAGAATTGTACCTACTATAGTACAACATCATGCCATAGTCTCTCCTGAAAACCCAATTGTGCGGCTGCAGAATCAGCAATCTCTCAGAAGCCATGATCGCGAGCCTAGAAAGTATTGTAATGCACGTAAAGTTATATCTTAGAGGAAGGAGAGTAGAAACAAGTGGAAACAAGGTAAATATCAACATAGCAATACCCAACCCTGCTACATGTGCATGAAGAATTGTTAGGTTGCATTATGGGGGGATAGGTGGCGCGCATTCATGGACCTTGGACAAAAGAATTGTTACATACGCCACCTGTCTCCATGACAATCTCCCCTGTACAAGGGGCTTAACTCGGAATACCCAAAGCGAACATGGTACAACTTCCTACCAGCATGGCGCTGGATAACAATGATCACGAAGAATTGACTTAAGACCAGGCTTGATCTTAACTAGTTACCAGCTAATACTACAAGTCAATTCAGAATATAAACCACGGGTATAAAAATGCTTCTTCACGTGTATACTCGATAGCTATGAACTTTGCAAACATGTACAGAAGATATTACTATTATCCATACTTTAACAACTCTTCTGGCAATTTTGAACCATGTTTATCAGTTAAAAAATAACCAATCGAGCTATGATTTTTTTATCAGTAAAATGCATGGTAATAAGAACGTACTGACGAAGCGGCCATTACAATGACATTTTAGAACTTCACTATTCTTTCACCTAGATTAGGCATCCTATTCATGTAGCAATCAAAATTAACAATTCCAGAAATGAAACTCAGATTAATATGGACAATATTGTGAGGTGTATTTCACAATTCCCGATATCTCATGCCAATATTACAACATAAGCAATATCAAATCCATAGGACAATATAATTATCCACCAGCACAATAAGGAAAAAGAATTGACGGTAAGTAATCAAATCAAATAGTAGTATAAGATGGCTACCTCAGCTCCTGAGGCCGCAACAAAGGGACATCTGAACCATCTTTCTTGTTAAATTTCTGGTCAACTTTATGAACAGACCTAAGTGGTGAAACCAACATCAGTCCATAATTTGTTCTTGAAGCCTGTTTCCAGTGAAGCCTCTGCAATATATGTCAATTCTTTTATTTTCCATGGTTGGAAAAGCATTATTCAGGAAAAATATTTAATTAGTTTCTTAAGATTACCATAAATAGACCAAGTCATGTAACATAAATTACTGGCATATGGAGCTTACAATCAAATTGCACAAAACAACCCCAATGATATCCCGGTTTGTTGCAATGTCGAGCCCTAAAAGTGAATTACTATTTATGTCTGAGGCCATAGACCGGAGGTCTTCCACACACTTCCCATTGACAGCCCCGAACAAGCTATGTCCAGAAGTTACTTTGAATAGCTCCTACAGTAGAATTTTACCAGTGAAATTTGGAATTATATGATCAGATATAATGTAAATGGCTGTCGACATGCTGGCATAGACTAGTGACAATATTTATGAGTTCCAAAATTGACATACCTCAGGGTTCCCTGTTAGGGGCCATATAAAAAATTCTCCTCCAATTCGAGATCCAACAATAGTCAGATTAAGTCTTCGACAAACCTCAATATAGATAACACTTACTAAAATTGCTGCCAATAATGAAAATCATATAGTCAGCTGATATTTTATGTTCATAAAACAATTAGACTAAACGATTCAAAAAGGCATACCACTGGCACATCCAGAGCTTAATACAGAGTGCAAGTATAAACACTTAGAATCTACCAATACAGATGACCTTTTGAAACCTCTCGACTCAAAGAGAACTTTGTTCACAGCATCTATAACTTCTACCAGATCACATCCTATATCTCTTGAGACGATCTCTGCTTCGACTTCCTTTGCAATGGCATCCAACTCAACCAGCCACTCACATATATTCTTTCCAGCCAAAGGTACAGCCTCCATGCAGTCCCACTCTTTGACATTGGATGGAGATGGTGTGTCTCTCCTTTCATTATGGAGTGAAAGAGCATCTATCTCCCGATTGAAAGCCAAAAATGCCTCATCTTCAACAGCGACATAAAGTAAAGCCTAGAAAAGATTGGTTCAGGACAAAGTAAGGAAAGTGATAAATTCACACTTTCCACATGAAAAGAAAGAAATTCAAAAACAATAAAATATGTATTGCGTCGTTGTCAAAAACAATTCCGCACACCACTTTCATGCTAACAGCTGTACACCAATTGGTAACGGATAATCGTGGAGAGAGAAAAAAAAGAGAGAGAGAGAGAATAAGCCAAGAAAAGTAGACCAAGCGTGAAACTGGAAATCAAACAACGATGCTTTGATTAGTACTACAACAATAACTGTTCAGCAAGTGTTGGCAGCTAATAAGAAACAGAGAAAAGCAATCAAAGAAGTGGGAATCAAGAAATTAGCTTACGTGAAAGGAAACTGTGATCGAGCGCAGAGTGCTTTAACTACCTCAAACAAAAAGTGCAGAATAAGAAACAAAATTACCTTTGCAAGAGAGATATCTTTGTCCTTAGACTGGATAGATATCTCCTGGGTAAATTTTTCCCTAGCAGCTTCAAGAACCTGATAGATTGTCAGGATATAAATGAAAGCTTCAATGAATTTCACAGATTTCCCAAACTATCGATCAATTCTCAAAATCAACGACGCACTTAAATCAAAATATAGTAGTCAGCAAGTAACAGACAATACCAGTAACATATGACTACAAAAAACGAACATATCTTAAGAATAAAATTCTAACCTCCTTATAAAAGCTAGCTCTAGACAAATTCCGGGGTTCTGCCAAAGCAGAACAAGCAGGTGAAATGCTCATTCTCCTTTTCTCAAGTGCAGCAATTCGAGTCGTAGCAGTTAAATTGTTCATCTTCCCTTTTCCATAAACACTCCAACATCCTTTTCGGCCATCAAATTCATACCTGATGATCGTAAAGAACAAAGGGATATTGGGGATTGCATAGGAGTAGTAGCACAAATGCTTCTCCAATCCACATACTATGACTTCACACAAACAAGTCCAATATATTTATAAAATTCAGGTGGCTATATGGATAATTTATTTTTTGAAAATATCCATAAACCTTCTTAAAGTCAATTCATGTTGTTTTTCCAATGATCAGATTGAAATCCCGGGTAATTTCTTGAGCTCTAATGGTCAAATTACCTGCCACAAGTTCCCAGAGAAGCCATAACCACAGGCGCAGGCGCAGGCATAGCTCTTGACGAAGCATTCACCCCACCATTCATCACCATCATCCTCTGCTTATGGTTCACCCCAGGCGACGAGACACCCAGCATTTTCTTGAAAGAAATAATAGAAGGGTAGGTGAATAGAGGCGAAAATTTTGTTGAAAACTGAGCATAAAGGCCTAAACTTTTCAAGAAAAAAGTACGAAGCGGTGGCTTAATACTGGTATTTGGCTCAAGAGTCTAAAGATCAGTACCGGTTCGCTGAACCCAAAAATCAGAAAAAAAGAACAAAAGGGTGCTTTAAAAAATTCAAGAATCAGGCTTTCTCTGCTGCCAAATATGATGAAGAGAAAGGCTTGGGAATTGAATGGGAGAGTAAGTTAATGGAAAAACAGGCCTTGACAGGCATTGAATGAGAACTTCCAAAACCAAAGGAAGACAAAGACAAGGTTGCTGATGAATAAGAACACGTGTAACTACAACCACAGCTAGTACAAGAATTATAGTGGAAGCTGACGCTACTAATACAGCTAAAAAATTCAAGATCCATAGAATTGGAACTTCTCAATTGCAACTTCAGCAGCAGAATCAAAGCCCAACTTGCTTTTTTTATTCTTCCTCTCTCACTATACACGTCTCTGTATGTGTACGTCTCTGTATGCATAGGTTGATGGAGTGAATGAGAGTGTTATCAGAGGGCTCTGCTTTCATCTCGTAAAAAGAAGACAAAAATATGAAATTGGGCGGAGTAGGCAGCGGTGGGGTATAGATTTGAGATTGGCATCACATCATGGGTACTTCATTGCATGATTTAATTGACAGCCGTTAAAATAAACTTTTCTTCTTCTCAAATTCATTTTGAAATTCACTTTAAAATATTCCGTACAATTTTTAAAATTTTTTTTTCTACTTTTTAACTATATCTTCCAAAAAATCACTATTTCAAAACTCTTTTCTTCCCTTAAAAAAAAAAAAAAAACTCATTTTAATAGTTTTCAAACATGGGCTGCTAAAGCATAAAATTATTGAACGAATATCCTCATATGAGCTAGGTCAATTAAGAGGATACATGTTTAAGTTATGATATTTAATAGCATGTTTGCAAACCTTGAGGAAAGATTATGTACACATTATCGTATACTTAAGTTAAACATTTAGAAAGTGTGTATACATGTTATATTAATAATTCAGATAAGACGACTAAATAATCAAAATTCTATTGACGTATTGTCTTACAACTATATTGATAAACATAGATATAGCTCTCGTACTCGAGGAGCTTGCTTGAAATAGATTGTATATAGTTGATTATTTCATCATAACATTTAAAAGAATGTCAAAATTCTTATATGTTGATTCTTTATTTGATCTTAACACATAATTGACTATAGATCTCTCTTCCATGAACCAAAGGGTTAGTAGGTTGTAGGCTAGTTTGTCGCTTGAAGAGATCTTCTCGAACGAGATTCGATGATGTAAAAAATCAATGTGTTCATCAAGAAATCTTGATATAAAGTAGTGCAAGATGATGTATTACTTTCAAAAAGATGGCAGAACTATTGGAAAAGAATCGTCACAATAATAATCAAAAGCAATGAAAAATTGAAAAATAAATTTAAATAGTTCTACAAACTTGTTAATGCCCACAAGAAAAGGAGAATCAATCCTTTAATCAAATTTATATAAGCTGCCGTGTGCTAATCTCTTTTGATGGTTTCATTAATTTATAACGACTCCATCAATCTTAAATGGAAAGAATTTTTCATTTTTTGGCAAACCTTAGTTGATGACATTTTCTTTCCTTAATTTACATCTTCCTCCAGCACTTTGTTTCTATTTTGTGGCAATGTACTTTTGTGCACGGCTGCATTATCTTCTAATTTACCATTAAAAAAAATGAAAAAAGAAAAAAAAAAAAAAAGAAAAAGAAGAAGAAGAAGTCAAACTCAAATACCCAACAAGACATCCCATCTATACAACAAACATGTTTTACATAACTTGAATTTTTGGCAAGCTATAAATTATAATTAAAGTTGATTAAACATAATTTTTATTTATACATTTACTAGAAACAACTACTATTACTCACTTATTATTTACAATTCATTAGGGTTCATAACTTATAATTATTTAAAAGCAATTTCAAATATGAGCTTAGAGCCCATTTGACAGGACTTGTACTTTTGCTTTTAGTTCTTGTAAAAGAACTTTTGGATAAAGCTACCTTAGTTAAAATTTCTATAAAAACTCTTTTATTCAGACAAAATATTCCTAAAAAAAATTCAAACATATTTTAAAAGCAGTTTCTTAATCTCAAAAATAACTTTTGACTTTTTATAACGAACCTTTAATCTCTATATAGAGCGGTAGCTTAGCTCATTTACAAATACACCTAGTTGTTGTAATGTACTCAATTACGAGAACTCAAATATTTAATTGCGTATTTGAACTCTATCTTTTCAAAGTTTACTTAAAATACTTCTTGAACAATAAGATCTAGACACAAAGATCAGTAAAATAGTTTTAAAAAGGTTAGGAGATCATAATGGTGATTAAGTAATTGCAAGACTATAGACTTAAACAATATATAATTAGAAATAAGTGTTGCAATAATAGGGGTTGGGGCATTTAATAAATAGTATTAGAAAGACTTGGCAAGAAAAGGAATGAGTTTGAAGATAGACATGGATAAGGTAATTAAATAAATTAGAAATATGGGACCATAGACAGAGAATTTCATCCAATTCTTATGAGGTACTAGCTGTTTAGATTGTGACAGGATTATTCCATGATGGGATAAACTCCAATTTCGATATGTTTTTCGACGTTTATGTCTTCAAATTAATAATTTAGGAGCAAGTCAGTCTAAAGGGACGGTAATGTACAATAAGAATTTGACATGTCGTGCACATGATCACTTGTGATTGTCGTATTTTTGTACAATTTGACCGTAAAAATAATATTTTTAGAAATAAAGAATGGGATTTTTTGTTAGAATTCAAGAATATGAGAATGTCTCACCTTTCCTTTTCGTTCTTTTCTTTCTTATTCCTTTCTTTAAGATTGATTTTGTGCGAAATTCATGACACCTTAACATAAAAGTAGACTGCTTTTGTCCAATTAGACGTGTGTGAGCACCTAAAGTCATAGTTTGGAGATCTAAAGCCAAGAAATTTTTATCGGAGAGCCTAATGCTACAAGTTACTATGTTTGGGGGACTATTCCTGCAAATTTTCATAATCAATAAAGACCCTCCTTAAAATGATTAGATTATTTTTGGAACACTTTCTTTCCAATTTATCACATGATTTTTCCTCTTTAATTTCCCCCTAATTCATCCCTTACCTCGCTTGAAACCAAATCAATGACCTGATAAAGCTTGTCTCTTATCACTTGAGCGAGAACTTGACCTCACAACATATATATTCTTTCCGACGGATTTAACAAACTAACGAATTGAAATTCTGATATGAAGTCAAACTTTAAGATATGAAATATGAAGACATGGTTGAAATTAATGTTAGATTTCGACCGAATAAAATAAGCCAACGATAAATAATTTTTTATTTTAGACGAACATGGAAATTGTCTCTAGTTTTTCTTTTTTTTTTTCTTACTCAAAACGTGGAGTTAATGAATATCATGACTCAGCAAGACCATTATTGACTTCGTACTCAATTGTGTTGTTAATGGTTGAAAAGTTTACTTAGCTCAAGAATGACTAAATAAATTTTTTATTATTGACGATGTCTAAAAATTGACTCTGACAAATACTAAATTTGTGTTGTGAAATGGTCTTAGCACTCAATCAAATAATCTTAATCAATGTGAAATTAGACATTCCTATATGACAACCGTTATAATAGAGTTGAGTAAGGGAAAAGAAAATTGAACATGTTTATCTATTTCAAAGTATTTATTTTTTCTTTAACGGAAAGTAAGTTAATATATATATATATATATATATATTTAAAGTAAAATTTATTTCGTATTTAAACTATGTACTATATATATAAAAAAAAAAAAAAACCTGTAAAATTAACTTTTGATTCTTTTAAACATCGCAGGAAATCTAGTGCTTAATTTGGATAATCAATTTTAGTGCTATTTATGTCAATATCCTGAATGCATATCCCATATATATAAACTGGACTAGACTCCTTTCCACTATTTTTTCTCAAAAAAATAATAAAAAATAAAAAGTTATTTATTTATATTATCATTACACTATATATTTATAATTTGAAAGTGCCTCAAAATTTTTGAAAAGAAAGCACATTAATTTTCTTTATGGTAATAATATTTATTTAATCAACTTACTGAAGTTTTTTCGAGGGTCTAAACAACTTAAATGAAATCTATAAAATTTCTTCTAGATTTGCATGGTTTTACATTTATTTTTCTGTAGGGTTTTCGAAAATTAGGCATATGAGGATCTTAATGGTACATGCCAATCGAGCTTACATTTTCTATTATTTGATACGTTTAAAAAAAAAAAACTTGAATATGGGCTTAAAGTATTCTCCAAAAATACAAATGGTTAGAGGGTCTTGACAAGTAAAGGAGTTTAGAAAATGGTTTGATTATATCATGATAATTCTGTGTACTAAATGATTTATATTACACAATTACCTTATCTAATAGTTTAAATTATTATTCTCCAATAATACAAACAGTTGGAGGGTCTTGACAAGTAAAAGAGTTTAGAAAATGGTTTGGTCATATCGTGATATTTCTGTGTACTAAATGACTTATATTACACGACTACCTTATCTAATGGTTTAAATCACTACTCTCGATCTACCTTTCCTCTTTATATCTGATTTCTTGTCCCAAATTGCAGGGAACCGAAGGTGGAAATGCAAAACTTGTTTATGCAGTTAGCAACAAAAGATTGATCCAACGTTATTCATGTGTCACTTCCCCTTATTTAATACTCGATATTTATTACACAAAGACGTGAATATATATAAAAATTTAATTTTAAGTGGATAATTAATTTTAATTATACATTTTATGGGATTCAGAAAATTTCAACATCACAATTAATAATTTTTTATCAAAATTTACTGAAAATTTGATTTTTAGCTACGTGAAACAAGTGCATAGTGTCTTGGGACTTGAATGTATTGTCACCTAGTCTACAAACTTAAGCTGCTAGAAAGAAATTTATTTATTTATTTAATTTAATCTTTCGATATATTTGCACTGATCATATTTAGAGCTCATTTGGTAGGGCTTAAAAGCCAATTAAAATCAATTTTTGACCGTTATTTTACTATTTCAGTCGTCATTTTTTAATTTTTCTTTCACATGTAGGACCCACTTTCTCTCTTACGGTCAAAAAATCAATTATCAAAATTTCTACCAAACAAACACTTAGTCAAAGACCTCTACACACAAAATGAATAATGATGAAACTTGAACTCAGTACCCGTGTCTACATTTATAGGGCGTCGAACCATCGAGAAGTTTAAGTTATTGGAAAGACGATGTATTTATATATTTGCATCAAGTCTGCACTTGTCTTTCATACCCAGTCTATAAGTCCAGGTAAAACGGAATCATTCCAATCGATTAACATTCAACGTAAAATTTCGTCGAATTTCATAACACAAATTATGGAATAGCGGAAGGGTTTGTATAGCCGATCATAGATATAAAAATAAGGCTTAGTTTCTCACTTCGTGAAGTTTTCAAGATAAACAAATATTTTTGGATGAAGTTGCATAACCGATGTGAACTACTTGTAGTACCAAGTTAGAAAGTTGGTGAACCAAATCAGCAACTCAAATTGAAATAATCCACTTTAAAAATAGACTGTACACTTGAAAATATTCATCTCCTGCTTCTGAACATGGCCAAAGGGCCATCTCCCATAATCCCATTGCTTTTGGCAGTTTCGTTAGGTCTCCTCCTTAAGGGCAACTTCCAAGTCAATCTCCCAACAATTTCTGAAGCAGAAAATGCAATCTTTACATTCGTTGTATTCATACCATTTCTTGTACTCCTCACAATTTACTCTACAAGTGCAAACCATACAATTGTGGTGCCTATTGCACTAATCCTGATTATGTACACAGTCACTACAATGCTTCTTGGCCCTCTCGTGCTGATCTTGATCGTTTATATCGCAAATTCTTGCTCGGGTTTCTTGAAATCTGGCGGAGAGGAAATCGGGTGGGGATTCATGCTAGTTCTTGTGTTCTTTGTGCTAAATTGGGTGGTGTCCGATGCAGGGCGACAATGGGGAGTCCTTGTGCTGGCTATACTGATCTATGTTTTATATCATTTCGTCGACAAATCTTGAAAGGCAACATGGTTAACTATGCCTCTCTATGTACCATTCTATCGGAAAATGTATAGGGCAGCTGTTAAAGGTAGTAGGGAACTTTCATGCAGCTTTTAAGTACCACAAAAAGTAACTTATAAACTTATAGGAATGTAATGAGAATCACTGAAAAAGAAATGTAAATGATGGTTCCTCTTGAAATAAGAAGTTCTATTGTCCAAGTCTAATGCATTTTTGTGCCTAATTTCACCTTTCAAATAAGTTTTTCGACTTTGCAGTCTTTCTTTTTCTTCTTCTTGTTTCGGGGTCTGTCTAAGTTTAGCTTACACGTTCTTCGACGGTAAGACGAACCAGTTGGTTCAGTTATTAGAATGCTTTTCTGAATCTGGCATTTGATGAACGTTTTAGGTGTTGTTCAATGACTTTTGTCCAAATATCATGCTAACAAATTTCAGTTGTTGATGGAAATATAAAAATTAAGGGAGTTCTGCAAATTTCACTAAGGTGGTTGGGACTAGAAATTTGGTTGAGCAGAAACAGAAGAGGGCAGAGGACTTGGAACTCTTTGCAGTCTCAAAGACCATAAGACCCCACAATTATAACATCAAAATTGGCCACTGTTGCTCTTTCACCAGGGCCCACAAATCGGCTTTTAGGCAAAATATAGAAGAGAGAACAAGCTCGTCGAAGAATACAATCTCACATTGAGGCGAACTTCTATAAATCCTGCGTGTTTTGGATTGTTTATTTTTTCTATCTTCAAATTAATTGCTCTTAGTGGAATATAATTAAGGTTTATATTTTTCAATAGCGAACTGCCTAGAGTACGTTTTTTTGGCACTTTTTTGTGGCTCTCCCCTTGTAGATTTTGCAAAAGGTAGAGGAGCATATTTTCGATACCATTTCTATTCCACTGGACTCACGTCGTTTCTTGGACAAAAACATCCAATCACACAGAATCCTGAAGAGAAGAAATCTGTCAGCGAAAGGATTTACACTTACCATTTTTTCGAAACACTTCCTCAATCCTTGACAAACACAGCACCTCGAGAAACATTTAGTTGTCCTTCTCAAGACACTACATCAACATATTAACCTTGGAAAAAGGAAAAGGTCAGCATATTAGTCTATAAACTAGAATTTTATTCATGATTATAGATATTGGTTTCATATACTTCCCGAGGAAGAGTTCTTCAGATCATTTAGTGATATCCAATTGGTGCTAGGGCTTCCTTCAGTTCATGCCCCTGATTATGAATGTCCTACAATCATTACAAATAAACCTTGGGCATCCTGTTGAGGCTCGAATCTGGGTTGTGTGCTCCCTCATTTTCTATACTGATACCGTTTTTAGTAATGCGATTTATTAGTGGAGTAGTTCAACTGGATCGTGACACCTGTCCTTTTTTGACCATTGGATTGGCATCCGGATGGTTACATTGTATATCTTTTGAGTGCCATTTCACTTAGCACTTACCGACTTTTGAGTTACGAGTTTGAGAGAGAGAGAGAGAGAGAGAGAGAGAGAGTTTCTTTCTGGAGCTAGGATTTCTAATCTACTTCATTTTCTCTCAAATGTCTCATTTGATATTCAGACATTTGTGAAGTTTGTGAATTTAATATTGGAAAATTTGTGAAGATAACTAAGACATTTGTGAAGTTTCCGTGTGATTATTGGAAAATTTTCAGTTTATCTTGTAAGATATAAGAGATCTGCACTTTCTCTTGTGTTTGATGAATGTTTTGTAACCTTCATTGCCAATTTGAGGCTTTATAGTACAATCGAACGATATCCATTTTAATATATATTCAACAGGGGAATAAGCATTAAAAATGGTTGCAGAGCTGTTGGGGCTTTAGCCGAAAAATTTCTCCATGTTCAATCATTTAATTTTTGCAAATTTTGTTTCTGTCGCATTGAGGTTTTTTTTTGTATCTTGAATTTAATATTACGTTTCTAGGCTTTTCACAACTAAACCAAGTTACTTAGATTATCAGACCATATAGTTTAATGTGTGTACCGATGCAAAAAGGTTAACCTTACAATGATGAGCCTCTTCTGCTCTAATCGCCACAACTACATCGAGAAGAGTTGAGTTCGGTGGCAAGCTCCAGTAGTCGATGGGAATGGATGGAGCAGGAACATTCTCAACTGTGTCCTTGTCCAACTCTTTCAAGAACTTGGTGTATTAGTGAATTGCCCTCTTTCAAATACCCCACAATCCGATGAGCCAATTTAGGCGAAACGAGATATGTCAAGAAGTATGCATTGAAAAACACGCCCTGCACCGTAAATACAAGAGGGCTTTCGTACCATCTAGGTTGGGACACTTCCTTGAATGTCATAAGGTGTATTATTTCATTTTCGGCTTCTTCTAACAATGCTTTGATACAACCACCACTGTGCTCAAATCGTCTTGATGACTTGTAGTGTAACAAAAATTTCCAACATCATTGCAAGACGTCCATACTACCTCTATGATACGTTAAAATAATTAAGCATAAGTTTGGTATGCAGTACTATAATGGACAGAATAATACAACAAACAAGTATCTTCTTTTCCTCGATTAATAGGTTCGACTATTGTATAGTCCAACCCTCTAAAGAAACCATAAAAGTGCAATACATCATCTAGTTGATTAACCAGGTTTGTGTACATTTTTGACATGTTGCAATAGCGGCTCATATAACGTGGAACATATATTTACTGAAATAAATAGGTTGATAGAAAGCAAATGGGTTATAAGAAGAAAGAAACAATATCAAAAAAGGAAGAGGAAAATTTCAAGGCTCGTCTAGTTGCAAAATGTTACTCATAGAGGAAAAGTGTTGACTAGGATGAGGTTTTTTCCTCTGTGATTAGATGTACTTTCATAAGGGGCAATGTTAACTTTAGTAACACATCTGAACATGCAGTTGGAGCAGATGGACGTAAAGACAGCTTTACTTCATGGAGATTTAAAAGAGCAAATTTACATGGAGCAGTCAGAAGGGTTCAATTAGCCTGTATAAGAGTTTATAAATTGAGGAGATCACTTTGTGGGTTGCGATAAGTGTAGATTCCACACTTATTTGAGATTCTAAATGATGATATTTTGTTATTCATTGAACGAACTAGTGTCTTATTTGTTATTTATTGCTTTTTATCATTTTTCAAAGAAGAATTGGAAGAAAGAACGAAATATAGCAAAAATGAAAGAAATTCAAAGTATGGGGACCAAAGTGTAAATATCCAATGATTGATTTGAACCACAAAAATGAAATTGAAGTAAAAAAGGAAAGGGATATATCTCTAGCAAAATTGTAGTTTTTTGAATTAGCTTTCCAACGTATTTCAATCACCTCAATTAGACGTCGGAAGAGAAAGTTATGACTAAAATACTAAAAATTGTGCAGAGACAAAATCATGCGCGCACAAATGCAACTTTCCTTATTTGATTAAAACTCTTTTAGAAGACAATTTGGACTTGAATTTTAACCTAATTTTATCATATAAATACAAGATATGAGCAGTAATGAAGGAGTCTCTCTCTTGCCTTTTCATACAAAATAGTTTCATCAAATTCATCAGGGGTCAATTACTATATTTTGAGAAAGGAGATCAAGCCATAGCAAGAAATTGAAGTTCAATTACATTAAGATTTTGAAGAATTCAACTTTGAACTTGAAGATCAACATCTTTTGTATTCTTTCGTGATCCGGGAGATAATTTTTTATTATTCTTCTTGTAATTTATATATTAATATGTTAGGCTAGTTTTTCATTGAATTGAGCCCTATTGTTTGTTTATTTTAATTCAAGACAATTAATTTAGTATTTCATAATTTTTTTTCTTGATTGATTTTACATTCCCATTGAACTATTCAATTGCTCGATCACCAATTAGATAGTAAATTGGTTGTTGTAGTATAGAAATACTCACAATAAGTCTAGAACGTGGTAAAATCGGCACATGGATAATAGGTATTAGGAATAATATCTGTGACATGTTCAATTATGTGTAATAAATCTTGTGAATTAATATATATTTTTCATATGAATTCGAACTAGGAATATGATCGAGTCATGTTAAACATAAGTTTAATATATTTTGGAAAAGAATATTGAATAAAAGTTGATTATCGATTATCTTGAATGCATGAATTTACTAAATTATGAATTAAGAGTTGAATTAAATGGAAATAGGGGATTCATGATTCCAATACATTCATATATCAGTTAAACATTTTATTTGCTTTATTAGTTTATGATTAGTATAAAATGCATACAAATCGCTCTTTTGATTTTATATTGTTTTGAATTTAATAAAATTTATTAAACTAGATATTAGACATTATTCATCGTGGAAACTCTTAACTTACAAATCTTATTACTTGTACAACGATCCTGTACGCTTGCGGGTTTTCTACGAACAGGCTGAAGCAATCTCCACGACAATGGTACAAGTGATTTGGCTCATACATGATTCAAATTGGCGATAGTAGATATGATTATGATTGTTGTGTTTATGTAAAGAGTCTTGACGACTGTTCTTTTATTTTTCTGTTACTTTATATGGACTATACATTGATTGCTGCAATTAGTATGAGTAAGGTCAACAAGTTGAAGATTTTATTGAGAATAGAATTTGACATGAAGGGTTCTTTCTTTTTTTTTTTTTTTTTTTTTTTTTTTTTTAACCTTTTTTTGATAACCCAGGTGTCCCAGCTTAGCCGGACTAAATCCTGGACCTCTAGCCCCCGGCCCCTCAGTGACTAGTGGAGGTAAATCGCAGGTTGTGCCCTTGTTGGTTCCCAGGTTCCCACATGGCTTTTACTCCTTCCCCAAAGGGACCCTCCTCCATGGTTATTACATCACCAAGCTGCTCCAACCCTTCCTCTGGTTATTACATCACTTGGCTGCTCCAACCAGGAATCGAACTCCCCACACTTGGTTCCAGAGCCCCCCAATGTGATTGTTTCGCCAACTTGGATGTGCCCTGGGGGGCAGAAGGGTTCTTTTATTTTTCTGTTACTTTATGTGGATGATACATTGATTGCTGCAATTAGTACGAGTAAGGTCAACAAGTTGAAGATTTTATTGAGAATAAATTTGACATGAAGGATTTAGATGCTGCAAAGAAGATTCTCGGGGTAGAGAATCGTAGGGACAAAAATTCAAGAAAATTATTGTTATCTCAAAACAGTTATGTTGAGAAGTTGTTAGAGAGGTTTGGCACGAGTAATGGAAAAATAGATAGTACATCTTTATCGAATCATTTTTATTATCTACTACTTAGTGCCCGAAGACTGACGCAGAAAATTAAAGCATGTCAAAGGTTCCATATGCTAATACAACAGGGTATCTGATGTATGCTATGGTTTGTATAAGATCGAATTTGGCACAAACTGTTAGTGTAGTAAGCAAGTTTTTGGCAAGTCTAGTACGAAAAGATTGAGATGTATTCAAGTGAATTTTCAGATACTGGAAGGGTACTACAGACTAAGGTATCACGTTTATCAAGTAATAAAATGAACCTTTAGTTATGGGATACGTAGATTCAGATTATGTTGAAAATATGGATGACGAGAGATTGACTACAAGTTATGTATGCACTCTGGCAAGTGGACCTATTTGTTGGAAGTCCATCTAGTTGCACAATCTACAATTGAGGTAGAGTATATCGCAATGGTTGAGGCTACCAAGGAAGCTTTGTGGCTTACAAGAATGGTCGAGGAGCTGGGTGTTCATCGAGGTAGAGTTGAAATGAAATGTGACAGTTAGAGTACCATTTATTTTGTGAAGAACCATGTATATAATGTGAGGCAAAGCAAATAGATGTGTGGTTTCACAAGATCAGGAAATTGGTTTCTTTAGGTGAACTATTACTTTTGAAAGTTCACACTTTTGAGAACGCAGCAAATATGTTGACAAAACCTATTGCCACTTATTAATAGGGGCTGACCCACTGCTAGACCTAGTGGGTCACGTGACCCATCAAGTTTTTTCAATTTTTTTAAATATATATATATGGAAAACAGTAGAATTCCCAAGACCCAAGTTACCATTTCCCAGCCAACTACTCTGTCCCATTAATTACAAAACTTTGAAAACAGAAAAATGAGAAGATAAACCCATTACAATTTACAAACCAATTCCAATTTCCAAACACCAAAAACCTGAAAAGAAAAACTGTTAATCTGCCTTCCCTTCCGGCCTTCCATAATCAGTGACTGGAGAAACTAGAAAGATTCGATCGGCATTTCGCGTTCGTGTCTTTGCTGTGGCCTGTGAGTTTGTGACGTGTGGTGCCGTGCGACTGTGTGAAGTGTGTGGCCATCCCGTTCAGACTCAGCCATCCGCCGACCGCCAGACCACTTCCCTCCATTGGCACCACCGTCCGCCTCTAAACGGTTAGTAGGTGCACCGTGCATAGCATTCATGACTGAGTCTATTGTCGATGTAACTATGTTGTGTTTTTTATTTTAATATGTGAGTTTTGAATTTGTTGAAACAAAGTATGTTTTGTCTATATTTGACTTCTGAATTTTTAGTGAATTTCCTGAACTAAGTATTTTAAGTTGTTATTTGTTAACATTATTAACTGTTAAGTTTTTTATTTACCACTATTTGTTGATTTTAGCATTAAATGAAAATTTGTTTATTTGTGAAAATGTCTAGTTTCAATAATTATCTTTAGACTTGTATTTTGGAGATTTTAACCTTTTTTTTTTTTTAATCAACGAGTTTAATTATATTGAATTGAAGGCAAGAAACTTCATAACTAGATTTTTATTTTTGCGACGTAGAATTCATTATATATGGGAACGGTTTCTCACTGAATAAACTCCACTTAAACTCAAGGATAGATCCAACACAAGCAGCACACTATATATACAAATTTTATCACAAAATTATAGATTAACACAAATTTATTAGCCATTAATTAAATCTTACGTCAATAATCAGTGTGATGGTCACTGTAAATTTGTAATGGTCATCTCTTGAAGTCATGTCATTCTCTACTCTCTCTGCCTCTTCTCTTCCTCGTACTTTATCCCTTCTTCCATATTTAATTTTGTGAACTTTATCGCCTAAGCTGTGATCATTAGGTTTAAGTTCATTCTTTTGTTTTCTTTCAATGAATTGATTGTTTTCGTTGATCGTTTCTATCAGTTATGGAGAAGTATTTTAAACGTAAATCTATATTTTCTTATGATGAGCAAGATGTTAATGAAAGGAATGTTCGAGATAAAAGAGATGAAATGAATGTTGGGGATGAAATTGATGGAACTAATCTTGGAGATGGCCCGATTCAAACAAATGTCAAGGATGTTGGGGATGAAAGTCATGAATTTGATGTTGCACAGCTACCTTCAGATCCTCGATTGAGAGTTCCAATACAAAATTATGATATTAATGTCCGAGATGAAATTCGAAGAACATATATGCAACGGGGTCCTTGTCAGCCTCGCAATCATGAATTTCCACCCACAAGAATGGCTAACAAAGAGAGGCGATTTTGTGTTTCATGGTATGATGAGCATCCTAGTTGGTTGGAATACAGTATAGCCAAAGATGTTGTATTTTGCTTTTATTGTTATCTTTTCAGCTCAAGTGGTGGTTCATTTGTTAATGGTGGGTTCTCAAATTGGAAAAGGAAATAGATTATTAGAAAACATGTTGGGGCATCAAATAGCGCACACAATCAGGCTCGGGTCCAGTATGAATCATTCAAGAATCAAGAACAAAGCATTAAAACCTGTCTTTTTAAATAATCGCTTCAAACTCGAATAGAGTATCGAAATCGTTTGAATACATCAATTGAATGTGTTCGATTTCTTCTACGACAAGGGTTGGCCCTTCATGGACATGATGAATCTAAAGATTCAAACAATCAAGGGAACTTTCTTGAACTATTACATTGGTTGTGTGACCACGATACTAAGATTAAGGTTGTTGTTTTGACGAGTGCACCTGAAAATCTAAAATTAACATCACCACGAGTTCAAAAAGATATTTTGAGTGCTATTGCTTCTGAGATTCTAAACGTGATTATCAAAGATGTTGGTAATAGCTTCTTTTCTATTCTAGTTGATGAATCTCGAGACATTTCAGTGAAGGAGCAAATGTCAGTTGTCATTCGTTATGTGAAGAATGGGCATGTGTTGAAACATTTTATCGGTGTTATACATGTTTCGAGTACCACAGCTGTCTCACTTAAGGCTGGAATTGATCAATTATTTTCCACTCATAGTTTAAGTATATCTAATTTAAGAGGTCAGGGATATGACGGAGCTAGTAATATGCGAGGTGAGTATAATGGTCTCAAAACACTTATTTTGAAAGAAAATTCAAGTGCCTACTACATTCACTGCTTTGCTCGTCAACTTCAACTAGCACTTGTAACTATGGCACAGAAACATCCAAAGATAGAAACTTTTTTCACTTCTGTACACAGATTGGTGAATGTTGTAGGAGGATCAGCTAAATGAAATGATCTTATTAGAGAGAAACAAAGATTGAAAATTCTTGAATCACTTAGTATTGGTGAAATATCAAGCGGGCGGGGTCTCAATCAAGAAACTACTCATAAGCGTTCTGGTGATACACATTGGGGATCTCACTATAGTTGTTTACTTAACCTGATCGTCATGTTTTCAACCACAATTGATGTTGTTGAGATGATTGCTACTGACACTACAAGTTCTGCAACAAGAGGTGATGGATTTATTGGAGTTGATGTTAAAATTGGAATTTGTATTTAATCTACATCTCATGAGAAAGATTTTAGAAATTTCAAATGGATTGTCGAAAGCATTGCAAAGAAAAGATCAAGATATTGTCAATGCCATGAGATTTGTACAATTATGTAAAGCACAGCTCCTAACCATGAGAGATGATGGATGAGATTCTTTTTCTTGGAATGGTTTGTTCGTTTTGTGAAGCTCATGAGATAAATGTTCCCAATATGGATTATATGTTCGTAACTCTAGGTTGGTCATGCGTGATACAGTGACAAATTTGCATCATTTTCATGTAGAAATGTTTTATGCCATCATTGATATGCAAGTTCAAGAGCTGAATGATCGTTTTTCAGAGGTCAATAGTGAGTTGCTCCTTTGTGTTGCATATTTGTGTCCAAATAATTCATTTGCTACTTTTGACAAGAATAAAGTGATTTGACTATGTCAGTATTATCTGACAGATTTTGACGCGACGGATATCTTGGAACTTGATGATCAACTAGATACATATATCTTTGACATGTGCACTCACGAAGATTTTGGATAATTACAAGACCTTAGTGATCTTGCACAGAAGTTGGTTGCGAAAAATAAACATGAAGTTTATCCATTAGTTTACAACCTTGTGACATTAGCCTTAGTCCTTCCCATGGCTACTACTACAGTCGAGAGAGCATTTTCTGTGACGTCAATTGTTAAAAATCGTTTGCGCAATCGAATCGGGGATCGATGGTTGAATGATAGTTTGATTGCATATATTGAGAAAAATGTATTTGATAATATTGAAAATGATGTCATTAAGGAAAGTTATCAAAATATGAGAACTCGTAGAGAACAATTGTAATAAGATATTGAATATTTAAATTCTTTCATCGCCTTTTTGATAAGTTTGATTGTGCCCCACTAACTCAAGATATTTGTGTCCGCCACTGCTTATTAACATCTCTTGGTGTTGGAGGAGAGGCGTCCCAACCTATTGGTCTCAGATGATATTTTCTCAAGTTATGATTTTTTAGTGTTCTTTGTAATGGATGGATATTCGCCAATGAGATTGCTTACACATCACTTCCTCCACCACCATGCAAAGCGGGTGTAGAGATATTGTGAGCCCACGAGGCCGAATCCTGTTCATATTACCCTCATCATACTTCTTGTCATGATCCTTGAACTTCTGGAGATTAAAATGAAGGGACAGTATCAATGAAAATGGCAGAGAAATTCCAGGGATTACAAGTATCTTGGAAAGAAATTTTTTGAACAAGGTTTATAATGTAACACGTTTGCACAATTTTCTTTCACAAAAATACCGTACACTATGGTGTGGGAGTGGGGTTTTAATAGAGGGGTAATGAAATTGAAGTAATATCACGTGCATGAATTGGCGAAAGGCGGTGACATATATGTCGAGTATAATGTTTGTACACCTTATAATTTCTATTTTAGACCCTTTTTAATTGCAACGTATATTCTGGACTCTGGAGAAATGTAAAATGACAAGAATGTCCATCTTTTGAACTTGAACCATGAATGGAAAGGCATAAAAATTGTATTTTTAAATTTAAGGAAAAAAGAGTAGAAAACGAAAAAGATATTACGAAATAAGAAGCAGAAAAATTAGAATTTTAGGATTCCATTGTACAAGATTATAAAAGAATTGCTTAAAAAAAATAAGTAGTGGGCATTTTTATTCAGGAAACTCTATACATATTAGGAACAGATAGAACTGACCAATTCTGTTCGGCTTTAGTTCACATTAGTCTATTTTTGAGTCTTAGACTAAAGAATTCAGCAGTTTTGGGATATTAATCAACGAAAATACTTGTTGTATATGGACGCTTTATTCTGTCTCCACTTATGAAAGGTCAAGCCGACACAATAGGCATTGCGATGCGAAGAGCTTTACTTGGAGAAATAGAAGGAACTATCATCATTTACAAATTCTTTTAAAGATCGATAAAATGACGATATATTGATTAAAACTATCAAAATCTCTTCACCATCTAAATGGGTTTGCTTATGTAATGTGGATTAATGACAAAAAGAAGTTAAAGAAATTTTTTTTGGGATTTGCAGTACAGTCAGGTGTACATTTCGAATGACATTTCCACTAGCTAATGATAGAATGCTACATGTGCGTTATATCACCCAAGATGTACATTTGAATGTACAAGTAAAATAAATTTTATTTTATTTTTTATTTGGTTGGTAAGATTTTAACTCATTCAAATCTTGTAACATCATCTATTGATAAGCAAATCCTTAAGTTGCGATTTACGTATAACACAATCGATCAAGTAACAATATTATCATGTAAAACAGAAAACATGAAGGTGAAACACGGAATTTTACACAATAGTTATGTTTTACAATTCATTTAGAAGCACACAAGAATAGAGTCGAGCCAAACTAGCACTGTAAATTCTGTTCCAAATTTCAAAAAATTCAAATTAAAAAATTTAGCCCTTGTTTGATTTAGATAAATATTGATAAAATATATAGTTGAATTAATAATTAACTTTGATTTAAATTTTAATCTAATTTTTTAGTTCAATTAAAAAGGGGCTTACTTGATCTCCCTTGTTTAAGTTCAAACATTTTCATTTTGTACATTCTTTTTCTTTTCATTATGCTTGAAAAAGACAAGTGATATGCAATTAATTAAGTGTGCGAAAATAAATAATATAGATGTAAAGGTAATTAGGATTTTATTTGAGAAGCTTGACCAAATTATGCATAATTCATAATTGGTCAATGATGCCATAAAAAATCTGCACCTATAAATTTCAGACTTGACGATTGGAAATGAGCACGTGCGGGATCTCGATGTATCGTGATATTTACTTAATTATGTAATAATTTTTTTGGTGGCAAGTTTTTGAGAGATTACGTGTGGTCCAAGATCTGGAATAAGGTGTATTGAATAATATCAATTTACTAAGGACCATAAATTGAATTAAAAGAAACTTCGTTGTTCGTTAACAAAGTATCATCGAATCACCAAGTAGGAAATGATTTTGAATACAAAAATTGCTATATCAAGTCCTAATTTATTGTACAAGTAACACGTATGTCCTAAATCTTTTAAAACTAGTAACTCAATGATCAACCTTTCATTAAAATTGTAACTAGTCCCCAACGACGAAAACCTTCTATCGTCGTTAAATCATTTAACAAAATTTACTAAAAGTTTAATTTTATCTATATCAAATAGGGGCTTAAATTTTAGCAAATTTTAAACAATACTAATAATGTTATAATTTTATATTTTAGGTCAAAGCATCACAAGCAGAAAATATAAAATTCTTGTGGTATGAATTTTAAGAAAGGAGAAATAATATTGTTTTAGTACAAAAATACAAATTACAGAAATTACTTTTCAAAATAATAAAATAAATATATATGCATTTATTCTATTCTAAATTACAGAAATTACTTTTCAAAATAATAAAATAAATATGTATGCATTTATTCTATTCAATAACCTTTAGTGTTTCAGTGGTATCCCAGCGGGGCAGGATATTCCTTTAGCTCGTGTCCTTCACATTGAATGTCCTGCATATTAAAGGAAATTAAGTCATTATCAAAAAATAAGTGATTGTGTTTTTCCTTTTTTTTTTTTTTTTGTTTCATTTCACAAATTATTACTCCTTATTAGGACATTAAACGAATTATAGATTATTAATAAAAATTGAACTTTTATATATTATAGTGTCAAAAATCCCTTTTAGTACTTAGACCAGACATTCACTTGAATAATAAAGAAATTTTTGTACGACCTAATTATTAGAAAAATAAGTTATTTTATTTATCCACTACTAGATATCATTTATTGTCATCTATTATCGAAAATTTCTTATTTGACAAAATATCTAGGAATTGTGCGATCTTTCATCAAAAATTCAAAGGAAATTGCTCTGTGTACGTAACAATTTCCTACAGATGTTTTATCGACCCCTCATTGTAGGGGTCGGTCCCACGTAGGGGTCCGCACATGTGAAAGATCTGGCAAGGGTCTATTTTGTAAGTGTAGCATTTCTCAAATTCAAACTACTACGTAGAAGAATATTATTTATTAATTTTTATTATAAAGACTTTCTCGATTTTGGTACCATATTGATCAATTACCTCTTCTAACAAGTTTGAAGTATTAAGAATATTTTCGTCGAAAAGGAAAATGAAAATCTTTCTTACCGATGCAAAGTGGTTAAGGTCACGATGGTGTGCCTCGTCTGCCCTGATAACCGTGACAACATCTTTTAACGTTGATTCCGACGGCAACTGCCAGTAATCAATGGCGATTGCCGGCGCCGGTCTATTTTCAACAAGGCCCTTCTCCAAATCAATTAGAAATTCAGTGTATGAATTCACTGCCTCTTCTTCAAGGTAGCCTACTATGCGATGAGCAAGTTTTGGGGACACAACATAGGACACAAAGTAGGCATTTGCAAATACACCTTGGACAACAAATACTAGGGCTCTCTCGTACCATTTCGGTTGGGATAATTCTAAGAATGTCATTAGATGCATTCTCTCATTTTCTGCTTCTTCGAGAAGGGCTTTGATCCAACCACCACTGTGTTCAAACCGCCGGATCGACTTTAAGTGTAGGAGCATCCCGCCCACCATGCCCGGGACAGCTGCCACCGTCTCTAGAAGCATAGCGTGGCACATGTGGCGTCTCTACAAGAAATTATCAGTCAGGAATTTAGAAATATAAGTGTACTAAAAGTAGTTGACAATATCCAAGACGTTCTATAGATTACGATTTTTGTTTGGACGATAGTATATTACTCTAAACTGCGTACTAAACATGAACGATACTCGAAACTTATTATCAAAAATGGACATGATTGACAAGTTTTAAGATGGGTAACAGGAAATGATTGTGTAACCTGAAAAAACAAGTAGGTGGGGAATTTGAGAGATTGAACAGTCCAATAGGCAAATTTGTCCATGAACGTAGTTGCCTTGTGGTGCTTTGTCACATCAATTGAAGTGTCCGCTTTATAAGTCTCCCATGGCTGGAAAAATGCAAATTCAAAAACTGATCATAAACATTGACCATAAATTGTGTTTTCTATTCTATTTCATAACACCAAATCCAAATGGCAAAATTATTACAATTTTAGGGTACGTACCCGAAAACAATTCCATCGCCAGGGCGATCCATCCTCCTTGGTCACCCTCGACGGAGGCACTCCCCAGTAGCTGCTAACGACAGCCTTACCATTTTGGCCATCGACGTTTTCAAAGTTGGAATTGAATTTCACAGCTTGTGCTGGCTCGTCTTCTTTGTTACCTTTTGAACCTAGGTTACTACTATAGTACCTTGCCTCAAAAATATGAGTGATTGAGGGTCGGCAGTTCTTGGAGACATTATTCATCGAACTACTAAATAATGAAAAATTCGACTGTAGATGTCGAAAAACCATACCGGAAATTACACGTTGGCTCATTGGAATTCGGGATTTTGAATATAGAGAGAAATAAACACGAAATAATTTGAATTGTATTTTGAGCTTTGATTTTGGTGTGAATGTACAAAGAATGTTGTGATCTTATATATAGTGCTGTTACAATATACCGTGTTTTGAATACTTCTAAAATAGAAATTCATCCATACAAATACTTTGGGAGTCTGGTCAACTTTCACTGTGGGATTGATTGATTGGTACCCTTTTTTAATAATTGAATTTGGTGTGATATTTTATACTCAAATTAAGACTTCAATTTTGACCCGCCTCTGCCAGTTGAAGTTGAAGTAGTCAGGGCGAATATGTTATCGAATACGGAACTGCTAGATTTAGGTGATGTTTGATATTGATTTAAATTATATTTTAATTAAAGTTAAATAATTAATTTTAATCATATATTTTATGAGGCTCACAACTTTTAGTCACACATTTCAAATTTTTTTTATTAAAATATATTTAAAATCTAATTTTAATTCTCATCAAACATGAACTTAATTAATAATAATATATATTAGGTTTAAAAAAGCAAAAGTCCACAAGTAAATACAATAATATAGCTATTATAGAGAACTCTGCAGGATGAATCGAGTTCCTCGATTTATTTATAAAAAATATATATATATATTATTCGATTCATTTTCATTTTAAAAAAATGGGGGTCAAACGGGGGCTCAACTCGTGTATTTAACTCTCTTAGGATGTGAGTCGAGCTTGAAAGTTGCTCTCTCCACTTAATATCCCTATCATGCGTCAACCAAGACGACTTATATTGTTAAATCATAAGGGGAAAAAACACAAATTATGTATTACTTTATTAGAAAAAAGTATTATAATTAATTTATGCTTTTATCGAACTTGGCCTCCGTTAATTTTCATTCCATTACATTCTATTTTTCTCTCTCCTATTTTCAACCACACAATATTCCATATATTACATGTAAACTGAAATTTTTTCCTTCTTTTTCAACTACTCGTTTTTCAAAAAAAATATTATTCTACCCATTTTCATTTCCAAAAAAATGAGGGCCAAACGGGGGCTTAATTCTTGACTCTATCCAGAGGCAGACCCAGACGATTTGGATTAGGGAGTCAGAAATAAAAATTATAGATATCTTTTAATAAAAAAAAGGCTAAACAATC